ACAATGTAACATCACTCTAAAAAAAGGAAAGCTCCCCTGCTAATGAAAGCTGAAACAGGAAGTGGGAGTGTCAAAATGTGGTCTCAGCTATCTACAAGCTGAAGCTGCAGCGTTTGGTAACACTATCATTCCTCAAGTCACCAAAAAAAAAAAAAAAAAAAAAAAAGCCAGGGAAATCATGAAGGTATTTAACTTCTGGGAAGATTAATACTTGAGAAAACCGATGTAATAATCTTTAGAAAACTAATAAATAGAATATTCACATCTTTAACCCTGTTGGAGATCATGGCAACCCATTCCAACATTCTTGCCTGGGAAATTCTCTGGACAGAGGAGCCTGGCAGGCTACACTCCACGGGGTAGGACAGAGTTGGACATGCCTGAACAACTGAGCATGGATGCGCATCGGTTAAGAAGAATGAGGTATAGTATTATGTGTACTAAAAGGCTATATCTCCACGACATTAAGTGGAAAAAGCTCGCAGGTAAATGAATGCATGCCTTGTATATTCAAACTCACTACCAAAAATGATGAGGTAGGGACTCCCCTGTGGTCCAGTGGTTAAGACTCTGCACTTCCACTGCAGGGGACAAGAGTTTGATCCCTGGTTGGGGAACTAAGATCCTTCATGCCTCATGGTGCGACCAAAAAAATAAAACACACACAATGATGGTATGTATACATTACAGGGAACATACGTGTGTGTATGTGTCCAAAAAAAGGTTTGTAGCATACTGATAATAATGGTTACCCTGAGGAGGCTAGAAAGCAGGCAGGACTGTGGATAGTGATCACAGGGAACTTTGTAACATTTCAGTCTTCTAGAAGCATATTTCATTTAAAAGTTTTAACAGTTAACATTAATTTAAAAACTTAACAGCTGTTAGAGCAAGCAACAGAGAAGGCAATGGCACCCCACTCCAGGACTCTTGCCTGGAAAATCCCATGGATGGAGGAGCCTGGTGGGCTGCGGTCCATGGGGTCGCTAAGAGTCGGGCACGACTGAGTGACTTCACTTTCACTTTTCACTTTCACACATTGGAGAAGGAAATGGCAACCCTCTCCAGTGTTCTTGCCTGGAGAATCCCAGGGACGGGGGAGCCTGGTGGGCTGCCGTCTATGGGGTCACGCAGAGTCGGACACGACTGACGTGATTTAGCAGCAGCAGCAGCAGAGCAAGCAAATACTAGATGTAATCCTTAGTAAGGAAGAACATTAACCTTCTGATCAAGTTTGTTAAAATGGACATAGTTCTACAGCTTTCCAGAAATATCCAGTCTGAAACCGACCACATGAAAGATGCCCACACACTTCAGAGGCACAAATGTGAAAAGAAATACTGTCATATGTCAGCCAAGTAGTACTGGAACTGACATTTGCTCAGCAGGCCTTACTATTTGGATTTAGTCAACTGTGTTGAATTCTACTACTTCCTATAGTACTTTATGGCTTTCCAATAGTCTCATTTGAGTCTCACGACTCGGCATCTCCATTTCACAAATTAGAAAACTGAGGCTCAGAAAAATTAAGTGGCACTTCCCTGGTGATCCAGTGGTTGGGAATCTGCCTGCTAATGCTGGGGACCTGTGTTTGATCCCTAGTCTGAGAAGACCCCACATGCTGTGGGGCAGCTAAGCCCATTCACTACAACTATTCAGCCTGCCCTCTAGAGCCTGTGCTCAACAAGAGAAGCCACGAAAATGAAAAGACTGCGCGCCTCATCTAAAGAGTAGCCCCCACTTTCCACAACTTAGAGAAAACCTGAGTGCGGTAATGAAGATCCAGCGTGGCCCCAAAGAAATAATAAACAAAACTTCTTAAAAAAGATAAGTGACTTGTCTAAAATCAAGGTTAGTAAAGGGCAGAGAACCTGTATTTTCCAGGAACTGAACACCTTCTCTGATTTCTCCATTCTCAACAAATCCAACTTCAGTAGTTAATAAAAGTTGTCGGATGCAAGCTTTCATCTGCATGGTAGCAGCCCCCTTGGTCCACTTTCTACCTGAACATAGGTAAGTGAACTCAATCCAATATGCAATTTCAGAACAAAATTCACCCACCAAAGGGACTGCCCAGCTGCTAGCAAGTCTGCTGTCAAGAAAAACAGTCTCCATCCTGGCACAGCTGTAAGTGATCAAGGACACGGTGCTGGGTTCGATACCACAACCCTGTGCTGCCTGGTGACAACTGGTATTCTGTCATGTCCTCTTAACTTTTCATGATGGGTCCCTATCCTGTTTCCCCAGTTAAGTCAGAGCTCTAAGGACCCTTCTCTTATCCTTCCTTAATTCTCAGTAGCCAGCCTCTGAATGAATATGCACTTGATAAGTTCCTTCGGCCTCATAATGTAGCCAGAACAGGATAAACTTAGGTGTAGTAACACACTTTTAAATGAACACACTGCCCACGAGAACTGACACTTCTGAAAATACACTTGCTCTTCTTCCTTGCCTCTTCAAACCTGCCCATGCGACATCCATCTTTATTACAATCAATAACACAACTCTACTCTCACAAATTGTAAGCCCCCAACATTGGACTCACTCTTGACTTTCATTTATACTTTACTTCCAATCCATTATAAATCTCATTGGCTGTGACTTCAAACTCCATTCAGAGTCCAGTTATTTCTTCCCACCTCTAGTTGCTTCCTCCCTGGTCTAAATCACGGTCATCTATCACGTGGGTCATTAGAATGGCCTCCACTTGCCTCTTCTAAAACAGTCCCTGTTACCCAGTTTCTTCTCAAGACAGCAGTCAATGGATCCTATTGCCATCCATGGTGACCATATCTCTCCCTCTATTCAAAAGCCTCCAAAGATTTGCTTACTCACACGGGACAAAATCGAGTTCTTACCACGTCCTAAGAGGCCACTTGGTTCTATCATCTCCTATTACTCTTCCTCCTGGCCCATTCCTCTCTCCAGCCCCTGGAACCCCTGCTCTTTCTTGGGCACCCTACTGTTTATTCTCTCTCCTCTGGGGTTTTGCATGCAGCCTTCACTTTCCCAGCAATACTCTTCCCCATGAAACCAGGGCTAGCTTGCTCATCATCTTTCAATCTTTCCCTAAAGGTCACCATGTAGGGAGGCCTTCCCTGACCAGGTGGCCTGAAGCAACCACTCCTCTCCCGAGTACACTACACACACACACACAAACCTTCCTGGGACTGCTTAGCCCCTTTCTTGTCTTATTTTTCTCCATAGTACAATCACCTTCTAACACACTCAATAATGTATTTCATTTGTCTAACTCCCCTAGTAGAATGTTTGCTCCAAAAAAGTAAGGATTTTTATTTCTTTCCTTCATTGCAGTGTCCCCAGAGCCTACAACATGCCTGGCACCTACAGATGTTTGATAAACATTTGTTGAATAAACATGATTGATAAAGATGGAAATTCCATAATATTGGTGGTTGTCTAGGGACATATACTTTCAGATGTGGCAGGTCAGAGTGTGAATTGGAATTACCTCTTTGGAGGACAATTTGGCAAGATCCAGGCTTCCCTGGTGGCTCAGATGGTAAAGCGTCTGTCTGCAATGCAGGAGACCCAGGTTCGATCCCTGGGGTGGGAAGATGCCCTGGAGAAGAAAATGGCAGCCCACTCCAGTACTCTTGCCTGGAAAATCCCATGGACAGAGGAGCCTGGTAGGCTACAGTCCATGTGCTTGCAAAGAGTCAGACACAACTGAGCGACTTCACTTCATTTCACTTTTTGGCAAGATCCATCAAAAATTAAAAAGCCATCTTACCTATGACCTAGAAATTCAACTGCCAAATATTCATTCAAGAGATATACATGTCCAAACACATAGTTCAAGGATATTTACTGCAGCATTATTTTAATAACAAAAGGCTGTAATGAACTTGTTATTCATCCATTGGGATCTGGTTAAAAAAACATAAGGGTATCAACCACATAAATGCAACTGTTAAAGATCATAGAGAAGGAGTTCTTCATGTGCTGGTTGCACAGTCTCCGTTGTAAACTGGGTGAAAAAAGTCAGGGACAGAAATGTGTGGAGTATGGCACTGAGTATAAAGGGAAAAGGCTCTGGGTGCCTATACTTACACGTTTGCATAAGCATTGTGTGTGTGTGTGTGTAAAATATGGAAAATAGTAAAAAAAAATTCAGTTGCAGCTGACTCGTTGGGACCCCATGGACTGCAGCCCCCCCCACCTCCCCCCCCCCCACCCCCCCCCCCCACCCCGCGCCTCTCCAGCCTCTCCTGCACTGGCAGGCAGATTCTTTACCACTGAGCTACTGGGGAAGTCAAAAAGCTAATGACAGAGGTTGCCTTTTTTTTTTTTTGAGAAAATTATTCAAGGGCTGGGAGACTTGAAGACATTTTAAAGTTCGTTGTGAACGGAGTACTTAAAAAACTCACTTCTATAAGGCATGAATCCATTTTTGCTAACTTTTACCCTGTGTGGTGCTGACACGCTAAAAATATGCCCTAACCTCTGCTTTGAAGGCAAGGGGTGGGGGCGGGAAGGAGGACCTTTTATTTCCTCGGGGAGTGAAGCCAATAAAACGTATGAATAGATCCAGCCCAACCTCGTGCTCTGTGACTCGGGGGCGGGCTCCTCCTTCCCCCAGCCCCATCCCCAGCTGCGCCCTCGGATTCTGCCATCTGGCGGCTGGAGTCCCGGCTTCCTCCTTAGAGGGCAGCAGCGGAGCGTCTCGGGGACGCATGCGCCCCAATTTGCGCCCGGGGAATTAAAGAGCGAGAAGAAAAGCCCCAACGAAACCCGCGCCCCAAACAAAACCCAAGTGGAGGAAAGCGCGCGGCTCCGCAGCTCCGGGGCCGTGGAGGCGCCTCCCGCCTCGCCCGCGTCCCCGGCCGCGGCGGGATGCGCACGGACCGGCCCGCGACGCCCCGGCCGCCACTATCCCCGCACCTGGACGCCGGTCGGGTGGCCGCGCCCCAGCCGCGCTCGCTCACCGCCGCGGCTCGTCCCGAGTCGCCCGGCGCCGGCGGGGCACCTCGCTCTCCATGGGGCTGAGGGACTGGCTGAGGACCGCGTGCTGCTGCTGCCCCTGCAAGTGCCTGGAGGAGCCCGCCGTGCCGGAGAAGGAGCCTCTGGTCAGGTGGGTGCGCGCGCCCCGGCCGTAATCTGGGGCTCCCTGGCTGCCGCCGGGCACCACGGACTCGGGGTACCCATGTGCTCGTCCGAGCTGGGGAGGTGCGCTTGTTTTAAGCTCACACGGAGGCACAGACTAAGCCCCTTGGTTCCTTAAAGAAGACCCTGCTCCTTGGGGGTTGTTCCTTGGTAAAGTTTTTGCCAGAATGCACGAATCCTTGGAGAAGCCTGAGACCCAAGAAGATGCGTGTGGGAAACGGCAAGAGCTCGGGTGCAGTTCCCCGGGTAGAGAACTACCGTAGAGAAGTTTGCACAGAGGTCCTATTAACTGTGATTGTCTGTTACATAGGCATGTTTCAGTGAAGTGGGCGACTGTGAATTTCTTTCACCCAGGAAAAAAGTTGGATACGTTATCATTCAATCTTGTTAGGAAGAGAAGACATTTACAGTGACGGAGAGCAAGGAAATATTTTTCACATTAAAAAAAGTACATATTTTTCTCAAGGGACACTGGAACGTTGATTCATGACAGATTAAGCTATTAAATGGGAGGAAATTAATGCACGTTAGCAATGTGCTAAGTGCCTTTGTGAAGGGACCGTACAACACGGCTTTGTTCTTGGCTGTGATTGTAAGCAATTATTTTATATCTTGACTCTGCTGAAATTAAGGTTTCATTTCGGCATGACTTGGGGGTAGGTAGGGTAGAAACAAAATATTTAAAATGAAATTAGGAAATAGTAGATGAGGCAAAATTCCAGGGTTGCGTAGGGGAGAACATGGAAGCCAGTGTTTCTTATGAAATATGCAACTAATATGATAAAGCTTTCACAACTTTTTTAAAACAGAATTTACCTTTTCTTACTCTATCAAGTCCAAACACTCCCCTTGGCTTTTGAGATCTTACATAACCCCTTCCCTCCTGTCCACTTCTGTTTTCCAGCATATTACACATTGTGCACTCTTTGATTTAATCAGACAGGCATCCTTACTGCTCTAGGAACAATCTAAGCTTCTTATTCCCTCCAAGCTTGTTTCAAGTGGGTGACCTTTATTCTTCCTGCCCCTTCTTAAATGCCAGTTTTCAAATCCCCCTCAAACAGTTTTTGATTTTTTCGTCCTTATTCGTCTTTCTCTCCTATGACTTATGGTTTAGAACTTGCTATCTGCCTCTCACGGTTTAGTGAGCACATGTATATGTAAACTTGTATGTCCTGTTTGTTTTCTGTGTAGTATACACACCATACAGAATGTTTTTGTTTGCTCCTGCAATGGTGTTCCCACTTCAACTATTACATTGTTGTGGGCAGGGAGAAACCCAGTAATCTACCCGTAGTCTTAAAATAGTGGATAGCAATCTGGAATTTCAGGCTTGGATTATGCCCTTTATTGATTTTGTCAATATTCATAGTAACATGAAATAACAGCCTTCAGCTTGGTCTCATTCTCAGAGCCTTGGGTCTTTCCAGTATTCTGTTGGGAATTGCTATTTAAGGTAATAGTTTTGGTTGTTTTAAAATCTCAACCCTCTTCTGCCTTGGTTTACACTGTAAGTCAGCAAATTTGCAAGTGATTTTAAGACTTCAGAGTCAGTTGGGGCAGAATAGCATAGTGCATAGGAGCCAGATTGCCTAGGGTTAAATTCCAGCCTGGGTGACCTGGCGCAAGTTATGAAACTTTTTTTGTGCTTTAATTTCCTCATCTGTAAAATGGGAATGATAATAGTGTGTACCTCAGAGGGATGCAGTGTATAGATACCTGCATGTTCTTTCCTGCCCAAGTCATTAGAAGGTCTAGATTGAAATCTTTTTTAAATGTGAAGGTCAGTGCTTTTTAATACATTCACAGAGCTGTGCAGTCATCAACACTCTTTAACTCCGGACATTTTTCATCACTCCAAGAAGAAGCACTATACTCATTGGCAGTCACTTGCTGCCCTCCCCTCCCTGCCCACTCCCTGCCATCCCCTAGGCCCGCAGTCAACCACGAATCTACTTTTTGTCTTTAGATATTTACTTATTCTGGACATTTTGTATAAACGGAATCCTTCAATATGTGGCCTTTTGCATCTGACTACTTTCACTTAGCATAATGTTTTCAAGTTTCATCTATGTTGTATGTTTATCAGTACTTAACTCTTTTTATTGTTGGATAATATTCCAGTGTACAGATGTTTTACATTCTATTTATCAATTGATAGATATTGGGGTGGTTTCCACTTTTTGGCTTTTAAAATAATGCTTCTGTGAACATTAGTGTACAAATTTTTGTGTGGACATATGTTTTTGATTCTCTTGGGTATGTACCTAGAAGTGGAATTGCTAGGTCACATAGTAAATTTTACATTTTAACTTTCTGAGTTGCTGCCAGGCTGTTTTCCAAAGTGGCTGGTTTGAAATCTTGACGTGGTGAAGTCAGATGGCCAAATGGTCTTAATTTTTATTTTATTAAGAACTTCATTTTTCATGTCATTTTTTTTCATTTATAAAAAAAAGATTTTATACAGACACTGCCTGCCCTCAGCTGAATCCTTTATTCCATCATAAAACAGTCGTTATCAAGCTTTATTTCATACCCCAAGGCAATAGTGCTGGAAGAGATATGGTCGGAAGGAAGACGTTTGTCATTTGTGCGCATGGTCACCTGCAGTCCTTTTCCAAAACAGACCAGGGAATCTCATTAGTTCAGCAAAACTAGTTTTTAAACTCAGCTCCTATGCCAATCTGAGATTGCCACTTGAGGTTTTTAAAAAATGTCTATTTATTTATTTGGCTGCATTGAGCCTCAGTTGTGGCACACAGACTTGGGAGTTGTGGCAGCGCATGGGTTTTGCTGCCCCGCAGCCTGTGCGATTCCAGTTCCCTGACCAGGAACCCAGTGGGTGTCTCCCACAAAGCAGGTTTTTAACCACTGGACCACCAGGAAAGTCCCTGTGTGTTTGATCTTGCTCTGTTTGCTTTTTCTGGAATTCTGTCCCTAAAGGGAATGGCTGTCACTTTTCTGGCTTGCATCTATATTTTTCTCTGTCCCATGAGTTCTTTCTTTGCCCTTTCTCTCAAAGTATGCTGGGGCCGCCCCTGACTATAAATTCATCCCCATGTTGCTGTTTTCTTTAGCGGGCATCCTCTGCTTTCCCTCGTGTCGGGCGCAGATGTCTTTAAAGTGCAGTCGGTTGTACCCCCACCTCCTCCTTCACCTCCCACTCAGCATGAGATCTGGTTCTTTCCCTGCATGATTCCATGAGAACTCTTCTCTTGAAAGTTACAAGAGAAAGAAATCTGCTGCTCTTCTCTCGGTGTACACGGAGTGCCCCTACGCTGACCATCCGGGCCTGATTTCCCATTTCCTCCTTCTCTGGCCCCTGATTTCGCATTTTCTCATCTCTGTGCCTGTGATCCATCTAATCATGCTGGTTTCCCTTCTGGTGTTGCTGTCAGTGGCATAATTGTTAGCCAGACATCTTTTTGTTTGGTCTACTGCTGAAGATTCTACTTGGATAAGGTCCATTCCAGTTGCTGCCTATATGATGAACTCTTAGAAAGTCTCCCCAGACAGTTATGGTGCCTCTCTTTTTTCTGTTTACCCCTTAAGTCCCTTACTGCACTCTCCCCGGTATTATTTTGCTTGTAAGGTGGGGACTGTGACCCCTATCAGACTGTAGATTCTAATCTAGATTGGGGGGGATGAATCTTACTACTTTAGCATGCGCTGATGTGTCCAGCACAGTCTTCCACATGGAGTCAGAACTGAATTAAATACTTTTTGATTAATAAAAATTATAATAGCTGTTAATTTATTAATTTCTTCCTATGTGTAAATTTTAAAAAATATATTTGGAACAAAATGTTATAAAGAATAACAGAGCAGATACCCACATACCAGCAGCCACCTTAAAAAAAAATTAACAGCAAGAGTGGAACCCCCCCTGTGTATCCATCCATGGCTGCATCATCCTTGCCCTGCATAAGTAACCTCTGCACTGAATCTGTGTTTAGCATTCTTAAGCTTATATAAATGGCGCATACTGTATTGTGCTATTGTATAAGGTTTTTTACATGCATTCTGTCATTTGTCGCTATGGGAAAGATGAAAAGCCATGCATTCTCTCTTCTGTCACTGTGGGAAAGATTGAAGGCAAAAGGAGAAGGGGGTGGCGGAGGATGAGATGGTTAGATAACATCACTGACTCAGTGGACATTAATTTGAACAAACTCCAGTTTTTTACCGTTGTCATCTGTGGATGTGAGAGTTGGACCATAAAGAAGGCTGAACACTGAAGAATTGATGCTTTTGAACTGTGGTGCTGGAGAAGACTCTTGAGAGTCCCTTGGACTGCAAAGGAGATCAAGCCAGTCAATCCTAAAGATTGAAATCAACCCTGAATATTCATTGGAAGTCCTGATGCTGAAGCGGAAGCTCTAATACTTTGGCCACCTGATGTGGAGACTTGACTCATTGGAAAAGACCCTGATGCTGGGAAAGATTGAGGGCAAGAGGAGAAGGGGGTGACAGAGGGTGAGATGATTGGATGCCATCATCGACTCAACGGACATGAGTTTGAGCAAACTCTGGGAGATAGTGGACAGGGAAGCCTGGCGTGCTGTAGTTAATTAGTTAATGAGGTCCCAAAGAGTCAGACACGACTTAGCCGCCGAACAGCAACAGTAACCAGATGAAATAGGTGTTATTTATTCCCCATTTTATAGGTAAGGAACTCAGGGCTTAGCGTGTTTAAATAATTAGTTCACAGTCACAATTGGTAAGTAGGAGAGTCAGAATTTGAATCCATGTCTGTTTGACTTCAGAGTTTATCCCTTGCATTGCAGAAAATTCAGAAAGCTACCAAACGGTTTCCAAATTTAACTGATAGTGTTTATATCCTAGACACTGGTAGATGTCACTAGCCTTAGCTCCTGCCCATTGTGACTCTTTTCTCCTTTTCTCCTTTCTTCTATGTCCCTCCTTAGCTTAATTCTTCTACCTGGATGCAGGGGCAACCTGACCTTG